GTTTTACACAGTACAGTAGTAGTAGTGGTGGTGGTGTTACTTGCTGGGAGGGCCTCTTGGAGAATGCTTTTTATCCTTCCATAATTTCTGTTCCTGAAGATGAACAAATAATGTAGGAGCGTGTGGCGCGCAGCATGTAAGTTGTTGAATTTCTGATCGGGAGTTTGAGACCGACGCTCGCCGCACTGCTTGTGTCCTTGGGCAAGACACTTTACTTACATTTGTCTCTCCTCACCCAGGAGCATAAATGGGAGGGTCATGCTGTTAACCTGCTTGTTGGTGACCCTGCTACGACTGTTCCAGTCAAATTAATAACAGCAACTAGATATCAATTGATATCATACGAGAAAAAAAAAAACAAAAACAAATAATTTTTGAACAATTAAATCATGATGACTTGTATCACATTCTTGTATGTTTTTTTATACATCAGAGCAGGGGAGAGTGCCACTCACTGGGATTGTTGGGCGAAGTGAGTGGCAGGCTTTAGAAAACAAAATATTTTTAGCTGTCTCCTCTGTTGATCTTTAAAAAAAAAATAAGTTAGCTAAACAAGGTAAAAAAATAGTCTCCTTTTGCAAACATAAAAGGACCCGGTGATTTGTTGTTCTTGATATAGGTATTACCCACATCACTATGCACCGTATATGTCAGATCTGAAGAATATCAGGCATCTGAAGTTCACCTTTGAGAAAGGGAAACCCTTTCTACCATTTCAACAGTTACTTGGTGTCCTACCAGCCGCCAGCAGAGAACTTCTACCAGAGTGCTTCCAGGTAAATTCTCATCTTGTTTGAAATAAGATACGATATCGGGGTCCAAAGTCTCCCGGAAATCGCGGGAGTCTCCCTGAAATCACGACGGCCTCCCACACTCCCTCAAGCAAGCAAGAATCTCGTGGAAATTAACCCATCTCTGTAAATTCACAAGTTTCCATGTTTTCACTGCTTTATTATCAATTTTTTCAAAGATGTCTGCCGATGGGTATCATTATGTGCAGCAAAAAAAAATTAAATCTGTTAAAAAAGCTCATTAACCAGATCAGTGGTGGATTCAAGGGAGGGGGGAAGCCGACCCAGGCCCCTAAATATTTCAAAATTGTAAAAAATTGGGGTAGAATTGAAAATTATATTCAAATTTAATTGTGATAAGGCCATTTCCGGCCATCGTAAACCTTCTTACCTCAGCTCTAGTCATGGTGGGGCAGATGTGGTCTAGGCCCTCCATCTAAGAAAGTCCCTTTCCTCTTTTCCCCCTGCAGATCTCCCGGAAATGACTTCTTCCAACTTGGGACATCTGTGATATACAGCATTGCTCTATTATAACTATTGATGAATCAAGTATTGACATTAAGTGTGTCCATTCATATTTTGTGTTTTCAGAAACTAATGATCATGGACAACTCGCCCATTATAGACTACTATCCTTTAGACTTTAAAACAGATCTTAATGGGAAACAACAGGACTGGGAAGCAGTTGTGCTGATTCCATTCATAGATGAGGTAAGTCAGTTTTTGGTGATGTTGGTTGGTCAGGCGAATCGGGGAGCCTTCCTGATTGGGTCAGTGTCTGCTATGCAGTACAATGACTGCATTGAAAACACTGTAGCGACAGTGTAGCAATTGTATGGAAACCGAGCTTTATTCGTAATTTATACATTCTTTTATCAAATCAATATCTAACGCTTAGATGCATGGTGATGCCATATTACACCCAGATATAGACATCACATTAAATTGTTGCAGTGTCAACAGATGTTAAGGTGTGATGTTCCATAAAGCAAGTCCCAAGATCTAACAGTTATACTTTGTGTTTCTATATGCAAGCTACAGGTTTTGAATCAAATTGAGTATTTTCTGATATGTTAAAGCCATGTGATCCTTACTTGTAGAGTGATCTATAACTTAATCAGAACGCTCATTGTAAGTTGAAATGTGAAGTCACATGACAGTCTCATGTCATACTTCAATGTGCCGCACAGTAGAACCACTTGAACTCAGGATATAGCCAAATAGGCCTCATGATACTTCAATGTGCGCTTCATGGTATATGTCTGTGCGTCTCACCGTCCAGTTGACCCTTTCTGGCTCATAATTCCTTAAAAATTTGAATTATTGATTGTAGAATATCATGCTTATTTCAGAAACGTTTGTTGTCAGCGATGGACTCTGTAGCTAATCAGATGACCAAAGAGGAGCGTGGTCGCAATCAACACGGTCCACACCTACTGTTTACGTATGATGTCAACCTTCATGATGTTTACCGTTCAGCTCTCCCAAAGGAATTCCCTGACATCGACCCATGCAGAGCCAGGTAGCCAATCCATTGTATTCATTTGCATTATCAAATTATTATTTGAGAATTCGGAATTGTATGTTTCCTTTTTAATTTTAAATTACAAATTGTGGCATATTCCTATTAAAATCTTCAAATTCATTATTTAACATTCAGCTTGGAACTTTGATGTGAACTTGTGGACACTTGACATAACATACATACATAACATGTATTCTTCATGCTATAATTTATACTTATTGACCTGAGTACAACTCTGAAAAAATCTCTCACCTAGAAGTATTATATAATTATTTACAGGCTCATTCTGTTTAGTTGGATGCCCCCCAGTTTTTCACCCCCTTAGTTTGGCAACCCCTTAGATCGGTGCCCCAGGCATATGTCCTCTTACATAACCCAGTAGTTACGCTTCTGCTTTGTGAAATTAGATACTGTATCTTATACGACCTCTTCACACCCTTATGTAGTCACATGTGCTATTGCATGGGCTTATTATTAAGTTTCAATTTCTTCTCTCTGAAAAGTTTCTTCCTAAATTTATTAACTGGACAATTGTGTCAACTTCCACCATTCTGCTTGCCGAAATTTAAGGAACACTTATCAGATTATCAATGAAAGCAAAATGCCTGTCATGGCAAATTTCATCTTTAGTTTGGTAATATTAGTAAACATTGTCTATGGTATGAATTTAAAAGTAATTGTAAAATAAAGTAAATTCAAAGATAGCTAGAACTCTATGTAATGACTTCATTAATTCTTTTTGTGAATACACTCACAAGCTTGTATATGGGTGAGAAACAAATTAATTACCAAAATTGATGTGAATTATTAGCGCTCTCTTAAAATGATTTCTGATAACCCTTTTTAAACTTGTTGAATTGGTACTTCGATAGCTCTTTTCCTTGCAGTTAAAAAGCAGTAACTCCATTATAATTATTATTTCATGAAGTAAATGAAAACCGACAGAGAATGCTTTTATTAAGCGGTTTGGTACAGCGGATCGATTTGTTTTCCCAACCTCGAGGTCGGGGTTTCATTTCCTTGCTGTGCATTTCGCTTGTGTCCTTGAGCAAAGGCACTTTATCTGCATTGCTTCTGTCCACCCAGGCGTATAAATGGGTACCTGGTGGGGTTGCCTGCTCTTGGCTAATCACTAGCAGCAACACTTAATGCATGTGTACCCAGCGACTAGGGAAAAGAACTGTGCTTTATAATAATATAACCTTTAGGAAGAGATGCATTGTAAATGTCTATACCAATACTGTACCAGTTATAGGTCATAGACCCAAAGTAAATTAAATGTAATAAAGAGTAAAAAGATTTAAATGACATGGCATTCACTTTGCTTAAGATTTCTTCTTATTGTTTTACATTTCCTTTTTTTTTTTTAAAGACGTACAGAGATTCCAATGAATAAATTTGAGATTCCAATAGAAAAGATTAGAAAAGGGTTGTGTCCAGAAGTGCGTTTGGGTGTTTATTTTCCTGGCTTTCCCACTCTACATCATTTGGAATACACAGTAAGTTACCTGAGTTAAATTGAACTTTCCTCTTGTATAATCAATATTAGTTTCATAATACAAATATCTCACTTTTTCATCTTATAATTTACCATTCATTAGTAGATAATACAGGGCATGCTAATGCCAAAACTAGCATCAGTGATAAAAACCAAAGATAATAAATAGCAGAAGATAGAGCAGCTTTCTAATATAGTGGAACATCCATTCAAAAGGCATTTGTGGGTACACGGAGATCAATTTTACTGCAACCGCGTGGCGGCGCTATATAAAAATAATAAAGGCGCTGCTCTTGTTCGCTTGTTTCCTTTAGTTTCTCCACTTAGTAAAATGTTCAAATTTTACTGCAACCGCAGGAGGGCGAATGTTCCATCGATTTTAATGCAAATACACGGAGCAGCTCATTCTTCTGCTATTTAAGTTCTTTGTAAAAACATGAAAATTGACTTTTCATGTTCTCCACATTATAAGCTTTAAAATGATTGGTCATTTTCTGGAATTGACTTACTATTGCCAAAGTTATGAGTAAAAGTCTTATGGCTTTTCTGTACTAAAGTATACAATTGCGCCACATTCTCATCCAAATTACTCAGTACACTGGTTTTGGGATGGCAAGCCTCATATGCATTGCATTAGTAGAGCTGATAAAATTGAAGCCTTCAAAATAATTAAGTTCCTATATTGAAGCGTAATAAGTAGCGGTATTGTACTTAAATTTCAATCATTGAGGTATTTTTTTTTTGTAGCTAGATGTTCTTGAAGTCAATTTACTTTTCTTGATTTATTTTGAAACTTTGCATTTTCTGATTGTCTATTTACAATTAAACAGAGTAAAATCAAGAACGTAGAAGTGAAAGTATTTCAGCAAGTAAGTCGAGGAGACAACATGATATTGACCATTAAAAACACTCAATCTGAAAAGGTAAATACTTCAACAATAATAAGCATGATGTAACAGTGTTGAGGCGAGACTTTTTTATACCTTGTTTTAGCCAACATATTTTTTTAAAGATCAAAATCAATAGTGACTGATATTGCAGAAATGTTCTTCAATATGTCGTCTTTTATAAATTCTGAAAAAAACCTGAAAATGTTCAAATTTTGATTTTCAAACGTTTTGGTTGCTTGTGGGAAATTCTAAATTGTGACAAATGGTGGGTTTTTACCAGATCTGGTCACAAATGATGTTGTCAAAAGCATCTAGGTGGAGCAGAAAATATATTGATGAATGTAAACAGTGCAGTAATGAGATTGGTATGCTTAAATTTATATAATTAAGGAAGAAATGTATATAATATATCTTATTTTTCGAGATATCATGGGAGTGAAGGGTGTAATAAAATTTTTTTTTTTTAAATGTCTATTTTTCGTGGCGGAGAGTGTGCTAACTGGCCAAAAATAAAACATTATTTTTATTTGATTTACCATAATTGGAGGTCGGAAGGTTCAATATAAAAGGTATGAAATACGTCTTGTCTGAGTAAGGAGATATACACATGTATTTTACTTTGATTTTCTTGTTTTGTTTTTTCCCAGGATATTAATGAACTTGCAGTGGATTATCTGGGGCAGCATGTTTTTGCCGAGTGGCCTCACCTGATAGAAGTCAAAGTTGTAGAAATTGCTAACGACAAAGTCAGGTGTGTTGTTTTACTTATTCTTTTATTGTTCTGTCTTTAAATCACGGGGGGGGACAAAGTGCGTTCTTTAGGCCACACATAGCCCAACAGCGCTGGACCTTTCTGATAAGCCCAGCCCAATGGATACTGCTTCTAATGTCTCACAAAACCACAGGGCTGAAACATACGCAAACACGTGTTTGTGAGACTACACATGTGCGTATTCCTCAGGGATTATATTTTTCCAATTTAAATCGGATTTCCGATTTTTAAAATCATATTTTATGTCAAATTCGTGGAGTTTTTTTTTTTTTGAGGGGGGGGGTAAGGGTGGTGGAGGTCGGTTCGTAATGTTGTGTAATCATTTTCATCTTTCTCTCTGAAGCTTTATTTAAAATAAACACGCAAAATTCACCATGTTGGTGGTGCTATAGTGATATTAATTAACTGACGATCGGTTCTCTTACGTTACTGCCATCAAAGAGTATACATACTCTTTGCTGCCATGTACTACAAGCGCGTTATATATAATGGCAATTTTATTCATTCAGTGGTTGGACCTATAGTGTGTCTATCGAGCTTGCAAAGCAAGCATGTGTCATATCATTCGCCGCTCGTTATACCGTTTCGGAATTATATCGCTCTCGTTTTTGCTTACTTTTTTATTTACATAATTCGATAAATTAATTAAACCATGGCTTCGCTAAAATTTGTGAAGCGGAAAGATGAAGGAACTGTGAAGGAAATAGAATAGATTTGTTGTTCAACCCCGAGGCCTAGCGCAGCTAGGCCCATTCTAGGCCTGACATCGCTGCGGTGCTAAGAGGCTCTAGCTCCGGTACGTGCGCCTCCAGGACAATGTCTAGTCTAGGCCTAGGTGGCGTCGCAAGGGCCTACAGCTACCCCCCACCCCCGCCGCCCGGTGGCTACGCCACCTCGTTCCTATTTTTTTTCTACACCTGAATATCATCCCTGATTCCTGGTCTTCTTCTGATTGGTCAATTTCTAAAGTCTGATTGACACTCCGGAACGGTCCATTCTGTTGTGGCCCACGAAAATAATGATAGCTGGTGGTAGCCTGCCTAACATCCCTTCTAACTAACTTCTGATTTTCAGTATTTGAACCCACTAACTTTAACTACCTATAATTAGGCGAGAATTTGTTTATGCCTTGTTTAACTGATCCCTTCTCTCCCCAGTAATGATTACTTCAAATAAAAATTAAATTAATTTTATTTTTAAAAAATTTAATGAACTTCTCACTCGGAAATATACAGCAGGGACAGATGCGAACCAACATGTGGCAAGCACCTCTAGTACAGCTTGCTCCTTAAAATTATTATACAAAAATTGAAATATATAAATAAAAAATGTACAACCATCAATACAATATAATTTTTAAAAAGGAGGTGAAAAACGTTGATAAATTACACCTGTGAGGGTATGCCACTGCAACAATAATAAACATTTCAGGAAAAATATAATTTATAAAATTTTTTATCCTGTCTTTCAATGCCCTGATATTTTCCTATAAAATGTATGTTTTTCAAACAATTTAATAATATTGTTAAAATGTTAGGCATTTATCTATCAAATAACTGGAATGTTTACATCACTACATAGCATTCTTTCAATATGTCAGATCTTTTTGATTGAGGACCAAAAGGCATTCTCAATTACTTTTTACCTCGCATTCATTTTTATCCTCGGCGTAGTTTTAGGTAGAACATTTTTGCTAAAAAAGGAAATAAAATTTATTGTAATATTTTTTTCAGAATATTGTTTATTTGTACTGTAACTTTCACCGTCATCACAACATCTTTTATTCAGTGAACTGATTGTTAGTGACATTTACTTGGTTAGTAGTGAGACCAAAAGTAAGGACAACCATTTATTAATAATTGCATGCTGTTTCTTTCAGGTTTAGGCTAGTTGAAGAACGAGGAAAATCAGCAAGAATTGAGAAACAGCCGATGACTGACCAGGATATGACAGCCTGGGTTAAGGAAATAAAGTGCATTAAGGAATTGTAAGTTTTTCAATGTTCTATAAACAATAATACTAGCATATACCCATGCTCTGCACGGTGTT